AAACATAAAGGATGAATAGGCACCAAGAGTGATGATTGTAATGTTTACAGTTTAGAGTACCCCTTGTACTCTTAAATTAAATAAATAAATGGCTTTCCTTGGCTTTTCAAAAAAAAAATTATGAATGTCATGCAGATTTTATTTTTCATTGATTTATTTTAAGTTACAACTAAAACTTATTAAATCAATCTCTTAAAACGAGTTTATTTTCACAATTTTTTATATAAAAGGTGATAATTTATGGCCAAACATCCCTCCTTGTTATGTACTACAAGAAGAGAACAAAATACCATGGGCAATAGCGGAAAATGACTTGGGATTAATAGTGTTAATTTCACCCCTCATTAGAAATGCATAAAGAGTAAAGTTCAATGATTAAAAGGGAAACTAAACAAATATTTTGTAAAAATTAAGAGAAAAGACCAATGTATAAGGGAGATTGGGAGAAAGAAATACTACAGGGCAAACCAGGAAAAAGAAAACACTGTGAGAAGGAGGTTTCCCCTACTTAATCAACAAAATATGGTTATGTACACACAACAGTCATCTCGATCAGGAGAGAAACATTGTGCACAAAACAAAGGAACAGACGAAAAAAATAAAAATTTCCTCCATAAATACATTGTTCTTGGCAAGTGTAGCGACCATATTCTTTGCTTTCTGATAAACATGTCTAATGCGAGTGTCCTTAAATAGAAGGATCAGAGACCTGCAACATGCAACCAAAGCCTTATGAGAGCTGTTAGTAGCTTATGACTCATTTAAAACATTCAATCTCCAGGCCTGTTTTAAGACCCCAGAATTCAACTTCATCGTTGGAACCATGACCTAGGTTCTTAGTGAAGCCTATGATCCAATTTCCAAGATGATCTCGGATGATCCCTCCGGCGTCAGCAATACATGGATTAGTTGAACAAGATCCATCGGAGTTAAGTTTTATCCACCCAGGTGGTGGAGTTTCCCATTTAATGGGGGCAAAAGCTTGGGTTCTAGTGCAGGGGATGCATGTTCTAGAAGCCCAGTATTCCGCCACAAATTGGAGTGGCTTGTGTAAAATCACACTAAGATTGGTAAATTGCTGAAAGCAAAGAGTGTTCCTATTATTCCAAATCATTCCAAAGGTTCCAAATGATAGAGCAGAAGGGAGACGACCATGGAACATCTTGGCTGGGAAATGAGTAGCTTTAAGGAACAGTTTGTGAAGGTACTGATCAAAAAAAAAAAAAAGGAACAGTTTGTGAAGAGCCAAGAAAAAAGGTTGAAAGTTGAAGCTGTGTTGCAAGGATGCTGGGATAGGAACTGGGCTCCAGAAAAGGTTGAGAGAAGGACAATTTCGTATAAGGTGAGCACCTATCTCTTGTGCAAGATTGCCCCTTGGACAAGTTGCTAGGAGGATTTGTAGTACTCTTGAGAGAAGTGCTCTCAAAGCAATTTTTTCGTGAGCAAGGAGCCAAAAAAAAAAAATGATTTTGGAAAACATTATTGTGAACAATCTATATGACACACTGATTGTCATAGTAGAGATCAGTAGAATGTGCCTAGGAAACACCCATGTTCTCAAGAATCCATCATAGTGAAAGAAGTTTTAATGTGGTGTCGCGCCCAAAGCTGTATACTGAACTTTAGAGCCAGAGAAAGATGGAGCAATCTATTTCTTGCTATGCAATGAGAAAAGGGAGTTCTAAGGAAAAGACAATACTAATTGTGGATTTGTGGTTAGAAAAATCACCTGCCCAATTAATATCAGAATATGTGAGTGGTACAAGAGAATATAGAGCAAAGAAGTGAAGCCCATGAAATAGTATCACTTTACATTTATAGCAAAGAGTGTGAAGAACAACAGCATAATGCTAGTTGTAGATAGTGAGTAGGATTAGAAAGTGGAGAGCCATCCATTAGTATAAGCTTAGTATTATTGCAATTATTCGTAGTCAAATGGTGTTGAAGAGATTCAAACATGCATCCTCAACATGGTTCCAATATTCCTTAACAAGTCAAATTAATCTCAATGAATTACTTGTCATTTCAATTATTATTTTTTTTAAAGGATAACTAAATAAAAAGGAAAATAGTAAACTCTTTTTGTTCTCATTACATCTCCCATTTATATCAAGTTTTCATATCTTTACTTGTATATTTGTTTTATTCTCATCACATCCCCCTTAGACCACCATGACTCTTAAAATAATTAATAGTTTGAAATAAGCCACTATTCTTGATGGTTAAGAGCATTATTTAAATTTTAATGAATAGTAACATCAAATGGAAAACATAGTATTTGAGTTTTATTAAATTGATAAGTAATACAAGGTAGTTTGATATTATTTATATGTAACATATTCACATTGGTTCCCATTTGATTAATCTTGAATGGGACTTCTCATTTCAGACCATCCTTCCAACTGGATATAATATAGCTTGCCATTTTGGTTCCCCATGGCGTGATTCATGGAGAATATATTTAGAAAACTTGAATTAAACAAAAGCTACCGCAGCACATTACTTTGTTAATAACATCAAGTAATTCTTAACACGTGATATTCATGTCCCTTGGAATGTTACTCCATTCCAATAGCTGAGGTATGCAAGAAAACTAGAACATGTAAACATTTTTTATGGGTTAATTGAACTAGTTGTGTTCTTAAGGTGGAGAAATTTTGTTGTATTATATGGATATCTCTTTAAAAAAAAAAACGATATATCAGAAACTTCTACATCTCATGTTGTAGTATCACAATTCAAATGACATTTCGACATGACTCTTTTAACATGAGATATATATGTAGATGTTTCTAATATATCATTTTCTAAGATCATAAAAAAAAAAACTGCTTATTGACTAATGTTCATATAAATAGTCATCACATTAGTGGTTGAGGGTGCGTTAAAGATTGTTGGGAGGTGCTTTGACAGTAACTATAATTATAGTTAT